TCTCTCTCTCTCTCTCTCTCTCTCTCTCTCTCTCTCTCTCTTCTCTCTCTCTCTCTCTCTCTCTCTCCTCTCTCTCTCTCTCTCCTCAACAGCACACACACACACACACACACACACACACACACACACAACACACACACACACACACACACACACACACAACAAACACACATTAAAAAAAACTATCCATCAATCCGTCTATCCATATCTGCTTATCTGTCTGTCTGTCTGTTTATCTCTCTCTCTTCTGTCTCTATCTATTCATCTATTTGCGTCTCTCTCGCTGTGGCGTGCGTTTTTGTGTGTCAGAGAGATAGAGAGATTCCAACTTTGGTTCTTCTACGATCCTTATCAGATGCAGGAAATCATTTTCGTCTGGCTCCCCCCCCCTCCCCCCCCACCCCTTCCCCCCCATTCTTCACGTCTTCTTCTTCTTCTCTTCTTCTTCTTCTCTTCTTCTTCTTCTTCTTCGTTTAGAAAAACTGCGCACTTTTTTTTTTTTTTGAGTCGTTTGGAAGTCACCTTGAGAAGAAGGAGGGAATTGAAGGAAGCGACGAGGGGGGGGGGGGGGGGGAAGGGAGGAAGTTCCGTGGTCGTCCTTCTTCTCGGATCGCTTCCTGTGCGGCATCGAGGTCTCCGGGACTCCTTCTGCCTCGCCCCTTTTCTCTCTCTCTTTCTCTCTCTTTCTCCTCTTTCTCTTCTCTCTTTTCCTCTCCTCGTCTAGTCGTTATTGTATCTTTTTTCCTTTTTTTTTCTCTTTTCGGTCAGATGTCTTCGTTTTCTTTGTGTGTTTATTTATTTATTTATTTATTTTATATTATTTTTTTTTACATATTTGTTATGAAAGAATAGGTATTGTGTAATATGTGTGTGTGTTTGTTGTGAGTGTGTGTGTGTGTGTGTGTGCGTGTGCGTGTGTGTGTGTGGTGTGTGTGTGTGTGTGTGTGTGTGTGTGTGTGTGTGTGTGTGTGTGTGTGTGTGTGTGTGTGTGTGTGTGTGTGTGGTGTGTGTGTGATGTGTGTGTGTGTGTGTGTGTTGTGAGATTAATCCGATATAGATTAACCTTCAAAGAAATTTAGCAAACATTTATAATTAAGTTCCGCGCTTTGAAAACTTTATTTAAAAAACACAGCATCTCTTTCCCTTGGAATAAATCAATGAAGACGCGCCGGAGTTTCTAATAAGTAACGTCAGCGAAAATAAATAAATAAATTCTCAGCCGCCATCCCTCATGTGGACTTGACAAGCATACACGCATAAATATATTTTTTTTTCTCTCGGTGATTGATTTAATATATTTTTTTTCTCTCTCCCCTTCTCCTTATAGGACGAAAGAAGCTCAGGAGGTTTACGAGAGGGCGCTCTTCTACGACAGCACCAACCCGGATATATACTACAATGTGAGTGTCCCGGATGGAGGCGAACGACGCACGATGGTCGTAGTAGTTGTGGGTCGTTGGATGTTGATTTTTTTTTTTTTTTTTTTTTTTTTTTTTTTTTTTTCGGGAGGTGCAGTTGATTTAAGTGTGTGAGGGATGTTTTGGGGCTATTGATTGGATGGAGAGAGGAGAGAGAGAGAGAAGAGAGAGAAGAGAGAGAGAGAGAGAGAGAAGAGAGAGAGAGAGAGAGAGAGAGAGAGAGAGAGAGAGAGAGAGAGAGAGAGAGAGAGAGGAGAGAGAGAGAGAGAGAGACAGAGAGAGAGACAGAGACAAGACGAGAGAGACAGAGACATCAGAAAGCATCATAGAAAGAGCTGCAAAGACTGAAAGAAACGCATCCACTTCTCCACCTGAAGACCCCTCCTGAAAGCGTTCTTCCCCCAGCTCGGCGTGGTGTTGCTCGAGCAGGGGCGGCCGCAGCAAGCGTTGGCGTACCTGGACAAGGCGCTCGAGATGGATCCAGACCACCAGCAGGCGCTCTTGAACTCGGCGGTTCTCATACAGGTTAGTTTTGAATGTTATTTATAAAAAGGAAAAAAAAAAAAAGAGAGAGAGAGAAGCAAAACGAGCAGTGGTTCTTTCTCTCTACAGCGAATTTCCGTCCACGAAGCCGTGTTTTTAATGAACAGTTGGTATAAATGAGTTTTTTTTTCGGACATACCCAAGTGCCGCTCATAGTCGTCCCTTCTAACTTCCTTCCCACTCCCTCCTCCCCCCTACACCCTTCCACCTACTTCCCTTACCCTCTCTTCTCCTTTTCCACCTCCCTCCATACGCCTTTCCCCATCCCTCCTCCTTTTCCATCCCTCTCCCTAAATCTTCCCCCTTTTTCCCTCATCCTCCCTCCCAACCATCTTCCCCCTCCCTCTTCGGCGTCCTTTCCAACACGGCTCTTCGGACACATCGACTTTCCCCCGTCCGCCGTGCTCTCAATTATAATTATTCAATTATGTTGTGACGATCGGCGTGGCTTTCGCAACCCAAGACGGCGTTTCCTCGTTTCCTCGTTTCCTCGTTTCCTCGTTTCCTCGTTTCCTCGTCCACGGCTAAATAACCTCTGGAAGGAACCTCTTAAGATGTATCGTGGGATCAGCGGCCAGACGACTTCCAAGGCGGAAAGTCGATGCGTGTGATGAAATGGCCCTAAATCTGATTATTAAATCTGTCTGCTTATTTGTTTGTGGAAATATGTTCCTAAATCTGATTATTAAATCTGTCTGCTTATTTGTTTGTGGAAATATGTTCCTAAATCTGATTATTAAATCTGTCTGCTTCTTTGTTTGTGGAAATATGTTCCTAAATCTGATTATGCTTCTGCTCTATTAAATATGTTCCTAAATGATTATTAATCTGTGTTTATTTGTTTGTGAAAATTTGTCTATGATTATTTAGTCATTGCTTACATCCGTATGCAAATAAATACTTTATTTATTTAGTGATGGAATAGTAATAGTTATTTTGAATTTCCGATAATTGCTTATATTGATTAACAAATTAACAATTATGGTAATGTTGCTTTGATCATGACCATTATGATGAAATATTTTAGTCAGACTAAATATTTTCTAATTCTATTCTAGTAAATTTGCAATTGCTTTTGTTATTGATGATAGATATCACTGATGTTACTATTATTATTGTTATTTTATTTAATTTCGTGTTATATTTTAGTAGACTTATATGCAATTCCTATTACTGTTATAGTATTAATTTATTATCATCATCATTACCATCAGCATCAGCCATTTACATTGTTGTTTTTGTTACTTTACTACTACTACTACTTCTACTTCTTTTTTTCTTCTTCTTCTTCTTCTTCTCTACTACTACTACTACTACTACTACTACTACTACTACTACTACTACTACTACTACTACTACTACTACTATACTACTACTACTACTACTACACAACACTCACCAACATAATATCCTCACCACCATTACTCCCCCATCTCTTCTTCCCTACCATCACCACCCCACCCATCCCCATCGTCCCCACCCCCCACCACCACCACCACCACCACCAACCACCACCCACCACCACCACCACCACCACACCACCCCACCACCACCATCCCCATCGTCCCCACCCCGCCCACCACCACCACCACCACCACACCACCACACCACCACCATCCCATCGTCCCCACCCCCCCCACCACCACCACACCACCACACCACACCACCACCACCACCACCACCAACCACCCACCACCACCACCACCACCACCACCACCACCACCCCACACCCCACCAACCCCCACCAACACCACCACCACCACACCACCACCCACCACGTCCCCCCCCCGCCCACCACCAACCACCACCGACGCCCCCTCTAACCCGCCCGCCCGCCCGCCCAGGAGTCCGGCAACGGGGAGCTGCGCCCCCTCGCCTACCAGCGCCTCCTCGCCTGGTGCAGCGCGACCCCCTCAACGAGCGGATCTTCTTCAACCTGGGCATGATCGCCATGGACGACGGCGACTACCGCAACGCCGAGAATTGGTTCAGGAAGGTGAGTGGGGGGGGGGGGGATAGAAAGGGGGTGGGTGGGAGGGGTAGAGGGTAGGGGGAGGGGGGATAGAGGTAGGGGGGGTGGGGATGGGGAGAGGGGTGAGGGAGGGATGAAGGTGGGTGGGGGGGGGAGGGGGATAGGGTGGGTGGGGGGATAGGGAGGGGGGTGGGGGGGAGGGATAGAGGGTGGGTGGGGGATAGGGAGGGGGGATGAGGGTGGGTGGGGGAGGGTGAAGGGTGAAGGGTGAAAGTGGGGATAGGGAGGGGAGGGAGGGTGGGTGGGTTGCGAGGGTTAGGGTTGGGGTTGGAATGAGGGCTAGAAGGGCATAGAAATTTGTTTGTTTGCCTTATTTTTTGTTGTTTCAATGAGGTATTTATTTATTGATATTATTTCGTTATTATTATCATTAATGATTATGATTATATCATTATTATTATGATTTTTATTATCATTATTATTACTGATCTTTTATTATCATCATGATCAGGACCTTTGCTTCTTAAAAACACGAATTTAATTATTGTACATATTTACTCTCCCTGGCGAGTGTGGGTTTAGTTCTAGGAGGGGGGGGGGGGTAGTGTGGTTTGCATTTACTTTTATTTCGGTTTGGTGGTTTTTATTTTCTTTTTTCTGTTTATTTATTTGTTATTGTATATTTGTTGATTATTTTCGAGGTCGATAGTTCAGTCGATAGTTTCTCGGTTCCTTCACAGCATTTTTTTACCGGAGCAGAAATGGTTTTATTGCACAGGTGATAACGTTTAAAACTTGTAAGGCAGTGTTCGGGACAATTAATTTCTTGCTGAATCACTGCTGATAATAAATGCAGACGATAATCTTACTTGAATTTTTTTTTGGTTGTGTTTGTTTTTATATTGTGGACCCGGGTCTCGAAATCCTGATCCTCGCAAGCACGTTCTTGTCCTTTCTTGCCATTTTCTTCGTTCTTCTCCCGCCGGAGTCCTGACCCCCTCCCGCTCCCCCCGCAGGCCATCGAGCTGAAGGAGGACTTCCGGTCGGCGCTGTTCAACCTGGCGCTGCTCCTGACGGACGACATGCGGCCCCTGGAGGCGGCGCCCTTCCTCAACCAGCTGGTCAAGCACCACCCCGACCACGTCAAGGGCCTCATCCTCCTCGGCGACATCTACATCAACAACATCAAGGACCTGGACGCCGCCGAGAAGGTCTGGCGAGGCGCCTTCGTTTGCATCTGTGGTGGCGCCGCCTCGCGTGGGCGTCGGCGCCGTGGGCATAGTGTTGTTATGATGTTCGGCCTTTTGAAAGAGCTTGACTTGTCCAAATAACTTGGTTGCTTTGTGTTTTATTTTGCTAATGATCATCTGCCTTTCCCGCAGTGCTACGAGCGCATCCTGGCCGTGGAGCCGAGCAACGTGCAGGGGCTCCACAACCTGTGCGTGGTGTACGTGGAGCGCGGCGAGCTGGCGGCCGCCGAGACGTGCCTGAGCCGCGCGCACGCCATGGCGCCCCACGAGGACTACATCCTGCGCCACCTCAAGATCGTGCGCTCGCGCCTCGCAAAGTTCTCGCAGATGCAGCAGCAGCAGCAGGCCGCGGGCGCCCAGGACAGGGCGGCGTCGACGGGCGCGGCGCCGGATGCGGGCGAGGGCGTCGCCGACGGAGGCTCTGACGCCAGCGCCACCAGACCCAAAAAGACTGTCTTTATAACAAAAAATAGTGATAGTAATAGTAAAAATACAGAGAAACAGCCGACGCCGATGATGGAGGCGACGCTAAAAAGTGAAGCGAGTGACTCGTTATCGTAAGACTGGATCATTGTTGAAAGCATGCCAAAGGTTCTACAGTCATTAGAAGGTGTGTTGCCTGTTCTGCGTACTTCGTACAGTATTAGGCAGTGGAAATAGCTATAACTTAAACGATGAAAGCTTATTTCTTTATGCAGCTATACTAATCACATTTACCTTGGAACAAAGGGCAGTATCCTATAGTCAGTGCTCATTTTAAAGTTTAAGATAGGAACAACTATAATCAATATAGGAATAGGAACATATAGGAACAGCTATTATCTTCCAAGCAGGCCATTTCAGCAGCAGGATCTGCTCTTGACGGGACCGAGCTTGACACTGTCTCCCCTTTGCAGGTATAAGCGTTGCCTGGTCGTCCGCGGCGAGGCAGACGGCCGGCAGAGCTCTCGCCATGGTCCTACGGGGGGAGGGCAGGGGGAGGGGGCGGCGCAAGGGGCGAGGCGAGGTGTGTCTTGTCCCCGCCTTCCGTAACCCCTCCCCCACCCCCGCCCCCTCTCATATCGTTGTCCAGCGAGAGAGAGAGAGAGAGAGAGAAAGGGGGGCGCCATCCACACCGTGTTCCAACGTCTCTGGGTCGAGGACAAAGAGGAAACGAAGTCGAATGTGATCTCAACCTCGCCGCGTTTCGTTTCGAGTGCAAGGCGTGAAAAAGGTGGTCTCAGACTTTCAGAAAGGGAGGTAAAAGGATCGAAGGAAGCGCCGTGGAAAGGATTTCAGAGGAAGGGAAAGGAAAAGCGAAGGGAAAAAAACTCGATGTTGAGAACTTCCAGTGTAGGAAAAGTGAAAAGTGTGCGAGGAAAGCCCTTAGTGAAGTGTCCTCTCCTGGGTGTGCCAGTCCAGGGCGTGGTGTGAACTCCTTATCCCATCCACAGTGGCACAGCACGCGTCGTGTGTTGCCCTTGCCTGCAGTGACACAGTGCCGGACCCCACAGGTTGCAGGGACCTTAACAAAAGAGAGAACTTCAGTGTATTCGAGGCTGCGTCGTGGCCACCTCTCCAGGAACACTTGTTTGCTATATATATAAAAAAAAGTAAAAATTGCAGTGTGTGAATGAGTCATCACATAGTCCTTCTTCTACATGGCGACCGTTGTCCATTAGCGTTTTATGCGTAGGGGAGAGACTTGTATTTATCCACAGTAATTACATTATACTTGCTTTTTTATAAAAGGATTTGTCTTGCAGAAAGGGAGATGAGCCAAGCTTGTCATTTGGAAGAAAAAAAAAAAATGAAACACACTTGCCTAATTGACGGAAGGGTTATTACTTCTAACGTTGGGAAGGCCAGGAACACTTCCCGCTGTTAACTCCGATAACGAAGGCTGGTAGACGCCTGCAAAACATTGGCTGGTTATGGTTCAACTAACGTCACTAGCGTCCCTTGTCTTTGTAGTAGCGCTTGCTTTTGCGTGGGCGTCGGACTCGGCGTCGGACTCGGCGTCGGACTCATTCCCGCCCGGCAGTGCACTCCGGAGGGAGACATCGGGAGCAGGAGCCCGGCCCGAGGAGGGCGATGGAGCCGGTTATGGTCTGTTCCTTGACATTGCTAGAGAGGGCAAATAGATCCTTTTTATATATGTACATGATTTTAATCACGCTGTATTTCTTCTTCATTTTTTTCTCACTTTAATAGCATAAAAAAAACTGTTTGGTTTTTAGATATGAAATATCAGATCCTTTTTTTAAAATGAGTTGATGGATTGAAAATCCAGAATGTGTTGATATCTAATTTTGAAAATGATTGCTAATTCATATAATAAATATTATTATTGAGTCATTCAGAGAGAATTTTACTTACCAATGTTGTGATACAGTCTGGAGAATTTAGAAGTGAAGCAGGGTAAACGTTTGGGAGACGCACTGAACTTTCTAAAGACACTGTCATCACTTTAGATGTATATTAAGGAAAACACTCCGTGTGATGCAACACAAGCTAGTCTAAATAAGAGTTACATTCCATGACATGTAACGCAGAGCAGAGCGGGCAGTGGGCGCCGTGGGTGTGGGCGGTTGGGCGTCACTGCCAAACCCTCTCCAAGTCCCTGTGTTTTCCTGCGAATAATCCGTCTTATCTTTTGTGATTATTTTACCTTGTTGCTCCTCTTCCGGATTCTATTCCTTATGGATTTTCATTCGTGTTTTTTTTTTCATTTTCATTATAGTTTAGGATTTTTTTCTGGGTTCTTAATTAAAAGTTAGCTGCTCTTCAGTGAAGTGAATGAAGTTTGGCAAAAGAGCAGGTCAGACGATTTTATTAAAAGTCAAATGTAAATGACTGACAGCAATGTTGTTTGTTCCAGAAATATATATATATGAGCGTTTATTAACACAGTATGGAGGATTGTCATTTAGAAAGATCTCACGCAAGAACTATGGCCATGAGGCTGCCTATCTCATGCATGTTAACAGTGTAAAGTATATAACGTGTGAATACGTGTATATAATTCTTGTGTTATGTACTGGGGCGGGTGGGGGGTGGGGGTAGGGGTAGTGGTAGGGTGGGGGTGGGGTCGTCTGATGTAAAATACCTTTTTTATATAAACTATATTCCTCATCTTGTAATCTTTCTACTATTTGATGTCTTTTTCCCTTCTGCTCTGGATGTGTGTGACTGTAAGGAGTGATATTTTGTGAAAAGTAAAAAAAAATATATATATGTGAATTTAAAAATATCTTCGGAGAAATGGAAATATGAAAAAATGTTTTTTTTGAAAAAGGAATTCCGTTCGGTCGGACAAGAATTACAGATTTTTCAAAGTCGTAATAGAATGCGTTTTGAATTGCTTTGACAGAATGATCCTTTAATTTGGGAGACTTAGTAGCAGGTGTAAACATATTTTATTACTTCCCCCCCCAAAAAAAATATTACTTCCCCCCCAAAAAAGAAAATTTGAAGAATCTTTTTTAATTCCTATATTTGCACATCGCTATTAAGATTTGAAAAGGCCGAACAGTTTTTTATATCAGAAGCACTGATGTAAAATATATAAAAATCACATTGATTACTCCTTAGCTCTTCTTATCTCTCGTTATTAGCAATATGATTTGCATAATCTCTATCTGATGGCATGTATTGGTCGAAATGGAAAATTCTAGATACAGCCACAGTGAATCTTCTAATTCTTAAAAAAAAAAATGTATTAATGGTATTAAATAGTAGATACCTCCTTAGGTCTACTAAATACCGGTAACTCTAAATATTACCAAGATTTCTTTAATACAGCAGGATTCAGTAGTCTAATATATACATCCGTTTATATTTCCTTAATTTATTTTCCCTTCGTTTTTTTTTTCCTTTTTCGTCCGTTTTCCTTCGTCTCTCTGTTGAAAAAGTGTCCGATGGCTGAGTGACGCGAGAGACAAGGCGAGAGTGCTCGAGCCAGGCCCAATTAGCCAGGCTAATGGCATCAGGGTAATTAAGCAGCGCGGAGGTCCAATTACAGGTGGACTTTGGTGCCGCGCTGTTCTCCCGCTCTCAAGTGGCCGAGAAACTTAGGTCAGTTCTTGCTATAGGAAGCTTCCGAGTAGTCACTTAGGTTCTCTTTATTTTTGGTGTGTTCATTTTTTTTGTTTTGTTTTGTTCTTCATCACCTGAACAGTCTCACCCTCTCTAACCATGATACTAAAACTAGAGCCATTTTTTTTTCATTTGTTTTAAGGGTTTTTTTTTAAATGGCTCGGTGTATTTTAGTGTTGCAGATGAAAAGAGAGGATGTGAGAGCCGCTGTATTTAAAAAAAAAGAAAAAAAAAAACACAAAAATAATATATACACACGTATATTAAAACAAATAACCCATTTGACAGAGGTATAAATATATACCCACGCTATACTCCTAAGTAAAATGTATGTAATGAAACATGATTAAAAAATAAAAGCTTCAGCGGTGCCTTTGGGATAATGTCTGAAATGGTATTGTAAAAATAAAGTTTGTATATCGAGTTTTAATAAATTTCATGATATTTTTCTATGTACCGTAAACTCCATGTTCCCCATTTCCTCTTGGTGGTTGCTGTAATGGTAGGCAAAAGTGTCCTAGAAACCGACTTCGTATACATAAAAAAAAGCCTCTTCTTCCCCTTTCCTTCCTCTCCCGTTCGTTTCGAGTGTCAAAGAGTCCGTGTTATATATTTTTTTTCTTGTTTTCGCTTTTCTTTCTCTTTTTGTTCTTTTTTTATCTTCACATTTTTTTGTTATCCCTTTTTGCCGTTTTTAAGACGTCACTTGTTCCTGGATTTGCATTTAATTTTTCTTTTCTTTTTGGTCCATCGTTGCTAACGAATCACGGCATTCATTTTTTTTTTTTAACTCTAAGCTTTCGTTTCTTTAATATCGAGTTCGATATGAAAGAAAAAAACATCAAGTATCTGATGTGATTTTTTATTGTTTCTTTGTTGTTAATTGATATCAATAGAAAAACGTTATCAAAAGAATGAAAATCGAAAGAGGTGGCCGATTATCATATAAATTTCATTCTCCTCTTGTTTCTCATAGACGCAATATCCTTCAACATACATCCTCCTCTTTTGCCCCTGAATTATTTAGTCTACCTTCCCAATCCGTTTCATTTTTTTGTTATTAGTTTTGTTTCCGTCTATTTCCGCTTTCTTTTGGCCCAAGCTAGTGTCTGCCTTAGCAGGGAGATCGTAGGGGGAACTCTGGAATTTTGTGCTGATGGCCCCCCTGTTCTGCCCAAGAAAATATGGCCGATGTTTTTTTTCCTCTTTTTGTATCTTTACTAATTTCATTTCATTAGTGACGATTCTGGAGTTTGGTTACGGAGTATTTGATTAATAATTTTTTGCACATGTAAATGAGGTGGTCTTTTCTTGAGCAGGTTGACATGGGGGTCTCTTTCATCAACTGTAGAAAAAAACTTTAGGGTCTTTTTTCTGTCCCCTTTTTTCTTCCATGGTGACTTGTACTTGTAAGTAGAGTCTGCATGTGGCTCTGTCACTGTATAAATAAACGTCATTTTGTCGACGCCAGAAACCCAGATTACAGAAAACAGAAAATGAAACTCGAGCCTATTACTCTGGCCGCCTCCCACGGAAAGCTACGAAGTGAAAGAAAATCCACAAAATTTCTTAGAGCGACACCTGTTTACTGATAGACAACATTCAGGTACTTTCTTACCTGTTGACTAAATTTTGTATTATTCTAGTGTAATTAAACACTTTTCTGCAGTGTCCGCCTTAAGTTCTCCCCAATAATCATATCATTATGATGGACATACTGAATAGATTGGGAAATTTTCAACTTACTGTAAGTTCTCTTGTGATCCCTGTTCTAAACAGGTTGTGATTTTTTTGTATCATATTTTAATTACATATATATGAATATATATTTAAGATTATGTTATATATCAACTCTGAGTAAGGTAGTCATTGCTGTGCATGAACTATGTAGATTAACAGTTTTTCATTGTTGTTAAACTTTTATGTTTATCTGAACGATGAAAGATTTGAAATGAATATCTTTATGATCTCTGAAATTTAGTGTAATGGCAAGCCAGAGAACTACATGTGAGCCAAGTGATGCTGAGGAGAGGCACGGCCGGAAGACCCAGATCCCGCCCTCCTGGCCCGCCGGACGCACGCCCGCGCCGCCAAGCCGTCTGGGAACCGAGGCCGCCCACTCGCGCGCCCGCCCGCCCTCCCCTGGAACACCCTACGCTCTCACGCCCTCAAACCCGAGATGGACTTCGTAAATTTTAACCTTGTTCAAATCCCCCCGTTTTCGTTCACTCTTACCACGCTTATTAATGATCTTGTATATACGATACAACCGAGAACAAAGTGTACAGCTGAACTCTTAGACTCCCTCCTTAACCACACTAATCCCGTTCCCCTTGTACTCCCGGAGTTCAAAAGCCTCGTCGACAAGGGCCTGAGGGAAGGGTCCGGAACGAGGGCAAGGAGCGTAGGGGTCGTAGGGGGCGCAGAGGAGAGCCAAGGAGGACACAGGGTCAGCCAAAGGAGTCTCCTCTGGTGTCCTGTGTAGGCGTGTCCATTCGTGGGCTCCCCAAACGGCTTCTCCC